GTGTACTGGAGACAGTGGAGCAGTGTTGTCCCCTCACGTCAGGAGGGAGCAGGGGAGGGAAGCTGCAGAACATGCAGTGGCCTGCAATGGACTGGCCAGTTTGCAGAAATTTTCTTCGGGCTTGGATTTGTCTGCTAGCCAGCAGATAAACCTGATCCATGGCTGCAGGCTTGGATCCTTGGTGTCAGATGGAGTGAGATCAGGGCATAGACACTTTGTGTTGGATTTCCTTCTCCACGTGTATGGATACACTTGATGTACCACCCAGGGTTTTCTGCTGTTGAACCCCCTGGGGTCATTCTGCACGCTGGTCCTGTGCTGTGAACCTGCTGCAGCTTACCCACTGACCCGACATTAATTACAATAATGTGAATTTACAGAACCACCCCATAAACTGACATAGATGTGCTTGATTCTTTTCCAACAGAAAGCTGTGAAGGCAGCATCCAAATACCACAGTGCATCAGATGATGAAGAAAGCCAGCAAAACTCTTCTGGAAAGGACACAGGGCAGCTCCACAGGTGAGCTATGAATCACCATAGCTTTACAGCTCAGTTAAAGTTAGAGGCATGCTACTGCCATCACTGTGGATATGTCACTGCTGCAGGGAAGTCAGGTTGTTTCTGACACTGCTGTCGGGGTATGTGTTGCTGTGACTGCTGTAGCCCCATGTTTTGACTGTGCACATTTCTATCGGTTGCAAATAGCAATTACCCTTCAACTACAAAATATCTTCTAATGTAAAAATGCCAATCTACGTTTTGCATGCTGTAAATAGTGCTCAAAGCAAACTGTTTGGGCTAAATAAGGGTACATCACAGTGCAGCCAACCTTATTGCATCTGAGAACGTAAAGAAAAAGCTATCAAAAAAGTGCCATTGAGAATGCATTTGTTGCCACTGAAACGTTCTGTTTTCAGACAGCTCAAAGCTGTCTGCCTTGTTTCTGCTGAGAAGAGCCATGGTGCAGCCATTTCATTATGTTTTAAATGAAAAATTTTGTTGGTGTAGCGTGGCTGTAGAGGTAGAAGGGGAACAGTCATCTTGGAGCCCTCTCTAAGGAGGTTTGCCACGCATGGTTCTCTGTGCACAGTTGTTCATTTTCTTACTGGTGAAAAGAACAGAAAGGGGGATTGAAATAGGCTTTAAATATTGAAAAATTCCTGCTTTGTTTTAAAAATTACTCAGCAGACTGGCTCGTCGAAGAAAAACGGTGAAGCTGTGCCGAGCTCTGTCTGACCTCGTGGTGTACACGAACTCTGTGGCAGCCCAGGATATTGTCGATGATGGTAAGGCTGCTGGCACAAGACTTAGACGTGCCTTTTCATTTTTCTGTTTGGGTAGGAAACATGCCTGTGTTCTCAAGGTTTCCCTTGGTTTTCGAAGGTGTTTTAAAAGCAGAGTAGTTGCTGGTCCTGTTTACCTGAAAGAGTAAAGAACCATCTTTTCCTTCCCTAGGAAATATCCTTTCCCTTTGTTTCTTACAACATTCATGTTTTAGTAGCAATTTTCAAAATGAAACTTTTTCAGGGGAACCCTTTCCTGGTTTCACAGTTCTGTGGAATTTGTCATCATCTTTTAACATTATCAATTTTAAGTATCATTTGGTAACATGATAGGTTTGAACTGTGATAAATAGATGTGATCCCTGTTCAGAAAGTGTGCAGTTGTTTCACTAAACGTGTCAGAGGCAAAATGGAAATCGAGAAAGTTGCAGGGGGATATGTGGGAAAGGGCACCAAATGTACGTGAACAAACTGTGTGTGAAATTCTGTAATGACAGTCAAATTAATTCCTGATTTAATAGAATTTAATGGGAAAAATTAAGGAGGGTGAAAGCACTGTGGAGAAAAGAGTCCAAGGAATTCTACAAGAACATAGACTAGTAGAGTTTCAGTCTCGTTCTGAGCTGAGAGACAGCTCAGGTTTTTCCGTGGGTCCAGGTGTGGTTAAGCAGTGCTGCTGAGCCCCTCTGATGGCTCGTGGTCCTCTGGAAAGGAAGGGCCTGTGCATCGGAGCACAGCACTGCGGCTGCCTTTCATCCCCATCTTGCGCTTTCCTCATCCTAGCTGAAGAGCTGGGCATGGAGAGGTGGTACAGTTGCGTTGGTCTAACTGTTCCCCCGAAGCTGGGTTTTCTTGCCTAGGAAAATCCTCTGGTCGGCCTCTTACTCAGAGGGCAGAGATGAGAAAACCCTCAGAGGGAAGATGTATGAATTGGAAAAGATTGCCTGGACTATTTAGAGAAAGGGTGAGTTTGCAGAAACCTCTGTGAGAGAGAAATGGGTTGAGTGCAGCTGTTATTGTGTTACAAGGACAAGAGCAAAATCAGAGCCCTGCTGGGCCCGTCTTTCCCCCAGCTGTAAGCTTTTCAGGATCATGCTGCCATTGGTAGGTCTCTCTGTAGGTTTTTCATAGCAATCATGTCTGGGGCTCTGCAGGAGAAAGGTCCTTAGCAATTACCATAAGCTCTTGCTTGGCTTTCCTTGTAAGTCTGGAAACTTGAGAGTAGAACCAAGGACCCTCCTGGAAGGGGAAACTGGTGCCCTTCAGTTACACAATGTACGTGGTTTGCATATAACGAAAGACAATCTCTCATAACTTTCCACTACATCTGATGTTCCCCTTGATTAATACCAGTGCATCTGAGGTCTGAGCTCAGGCCCCCATCTCCTGGGGTCGCTTTGTAACCTGTTCATTGATTGAACCCAGGATCAACAGGGAACGTGCTGTCATTCAGCGAAACAAGAGCCCACCAAGCAGTGCAGCAGAAGGCCGAACAGTTTATGCTTTACAACCAGAAACAGCTTACAAGGGTCTATCCATCAGCCTACCGGATTGACTCCAGCAATTTCAATCCTTTACCCTACTGGAATGTTGGTTGCCAGTTAGGTAGGTGTTGCGTGAATAACTTCCCACTCCTTGTGTACGTGCTAAGTAAATATCTTACACCTGAGTCTTCTCTTTCAACAGTGGCACTAAACTACCAATCCGAGGGACGCATGATGCAATTAAATGATGCAAAATTTAGGGTAAATGGCAACTGTGGTTATGTCCTCAAACCTCAGCAGATGTGCAAAGGTAATGTCTTGCTATACATTTATTACTGTAAGTGTCAAGCCTTTCGGAAAGCGTCTTCCTGGTGAAGTTGCCAAGACATGAGAAAGACAAATAAGAACATATGTAGAATCCTTCCTGTTTCCATACATTCATATGCTTATTTTACTTCAGAATTCATATCATGTCTAACTCTCAGACTGTATAAGTACCAGCATACAATCTCTCATTGTTATTATAGATATAGTTTGAGGGCTCCATCTTAATATGTGTTTATAAAAAGAAAAGGGCATCCTAGGACAGCGAACTGCAAGCAAGAAGAATAAGGTATGCAGTGGCCCAGGACCAAGTATCCAGGACTTGCTCAGCACTCAAGCAAGTCGGTGGGATTCTGTTCTCTTTACAAGGAATTGGTTCAGTCCTGTTGGAACAGGAGCCAGTGGTTTTCAGTGCTATGCAGTGACAATCCTTCCATATTTTGAGGACTTAGGATCTCTATCTCTAATTAATTTTCTGAATGTGGCCACAGGAAGTGGTGGCATTGATTGAAAGGCACTTGAGGAATGGTAGAGGGAGTTTGGGTACTGGAAGCAGGCACTGCTGCTGCAGGAAACAGCTTGCTCAACCTTAGTTGCTCGTTCTTGTTAGGATGTGGGCAGCTGTGCAAGAAACATGATCGGAGTGCTGATCTGGGTTATAACTATTGGTTTATTCTAAGCTACTACGTTACAGAAGAAAGTTTCTTTTCAAAGGAGTCTTAGTCTTGGAAAACTCTACTATCAGAGGGCTCCTTTCTGTCTTGTGGTTGTGTAAACAAGGACTGCTCAGCAAAGGCTGTAAGAAAGTGGGATGGAATTTTATGTGACTTGCTTATGACTGAATTTTGGCTATATGTATGCATCCTGGGGGGGTGATCTTTATTCTGTGTATCTTTTTCCTTACATTTCTCATTCCTTGCAATTTTTGTAGGCACATTCAACCCCTACTCTGCTGATCCACTTCCTGCGAGTCCCAAAAAGCAGCTTATTCTGAAAATCATCAGTGGACAGCAGCTACCTAAGCCTCCTGACTCCATGTTAGGAGACAGAGGAGAGGTAAGATACTGTGATATCACCAAATGCTTCCACAAGAGGTCCTGGAGTGACATGGCAGCGTGTGACTCAGAGAAACTTCCTCCTTATTTAAATGCACCAATAAATTTCAGACATTGTTAAGCTTTTGGTCACTAAATACTACATTTTCCCACAGAGTCTTTATCCTACACATAATGTTTAAAGAACTAATTTGTTTTGTATTCTGACAATGGCTTCACTTTTTAAAAAATTAGTCATAGTTGGCTATAGCTCTTGAGACTACAAACCATACATCAACCTACGCTTCATGAAGCCATTTCCCATGGTCGTGCTACTTGAAAATTCATGTGAATCACAGGCTTTTAAATTCTCATATGAATTTAAATTAACTCTCTGCATGAATTTCCTTAAAAATTGACCTTCGCATGTACCATTGGCTTGCTTTTAAAATACTTTTTTTTTTAAAAACTAGATAATAGATCCCTTTGTCGAGGTGGAAGTTATTGGGTTACCTGTTGACTGCTGTAAAGATCAAACCAGGGTGGTTGACGACAATGGTAAGATAATCAAGCTGATTTCCTTCTCTTAGAGTAAAATTTTAAGGAATTATAAATGATTCTGTATCTGTTATTGGGTTCTAAATTGCAAAGCTTCTTACCTGATGAAATAAAATTATTTTAACAAATTAATTCTGCTTCCTAGATAGGATTTCTGGTGTAGGGAGACAGATGAGCAAGAGGTGAAGGACAAGAGATGTTCAGCATAAGAACTTTGTCCTGCATTGTTCTTAAATCTTCTTTATGCTGAAGTTACAAATATTTTTTTTTAATTTGTATAAAGTACATGTATAAATTCAAATGAAATGCAAACAAATCATGTCCTTAGCAGTTTTACTGCCACCTCAGCCTTCATGGGAAGGAGATGAATAACAGAGTGGGATAGTCTGTTGCAGAAGGAGAGGTGGCCATCAGTTCTCATAGGCAGTTGTAAAACCATGGGGGGAAAAGAAGGGAGTAGTCACTGTGTGCTTTGGTCTTTAGCCTACCATAGTTTTGCAAAAACAACAGCTTGCCTTGGTATCCCTGCCAGCTACCCGACGAGGGCCATTTTGTTACTAAAAGCAGCCCAAGAGACAGATCTTTCACTTTTAATTTCTTACATAATGGAGGTGGAGAGCATTTAGATCCAGATGAGCAATAAGTACTGAGTATTCATTTGTGTATTGGGTCTGCTTGTTTCTAATGCCTCTTGCTGTGCATCATGAAAACTGAGGCTAGCACTTCATATGGACTTGTTTCCCAAAATTTCTGTTTGTTTCACAGGGTTTAATCCTGTTTGGGAGGAGACACTCACTTTTACCATCCACATGCCTGAGATAGCTTTGGTGCGATTTCTTGTTTGGGACCATGACCCTATTGGGCGAGACTTTGTTGGACAAAGAACTCTGGCCTTTAGCAGTCTCGTGCCTGGTTAGTCCCCCTTGTTTTCCTTGACTTAGAGATCTAACTGAAGAACAAACACCTTTGAACTTAAAGTTGAAGATGAGATTGTCAACATAGGAATATGCCTGTATCTCTGACACTTCATGGATGAGCTTGGACAGTTCTCCTGGTATCTTAGGGGGGTATATTCCCTGTGACTTGAAAGGGTGTGGGTGTCTGTGCTTTTGGAAGTTGCTACTGGTGTCTTATTTATAACTTGGAGGCAATTTGTGCTGGGGGGCTTGCAAAACCTGTGGGAACATAAGTTTTTACTAAAGGAATAAGGCGGCTTACTCTATGTATTTCACTTTTATAGGCAGTCATTTCCAGTTGTGCATAAAATGCAGACTTGATTATTTGTGGTGCAATATTTTTGTTTTCCTAGGTTATCGTCATGTATATTTAGAAGGACTGACAGAAGCATCCATATTTGTCCATATAACCATTAATGAGATCTATGGAAAGGTAGGTATAGCTGGAAATTTACATCTCTTATGACTTCTTTTTTTGTTTAATTATTCTGACAAAAATGGATTTAAATGTACCACAGAACCTCTCAGGATTTCTGTGGTTTCTAAATGATTCTTACAGCTTAGGGTTGTGGCCTTTTGTACGCTGGATTAGCAGTACCTACCTCTCTGGCCCTGATCAGTAACAGTTTAAACAAATTATTCAGATCATGCAGCAATGAAAAAGCACAATGTCTGGTTCTCTATTGCCCTCAGTTTGATGTCTTCATTTACACTCGTATCTGTGTAGGTATCTCCATACACTGCTGAGCATCAGCATGCTCAAGAAACTGCAATTCCTTACTCAGGGCGTTTTCTCTGAGGGGCACTGAGCCAGGGCACCCACCCACAGCACACCCGTGCCCAGTGAAACACTTGGCTCTCTCCAGCTGAGATACTGCAGCAACAGTGCAGACATGCTTCTGTCGGAGCTCAGGAAGCAGATGTAGTTCAGAGCATGTGGGGAGGGTTCCTTGCAGGTGATCAGCAAGGAAAGCGTAACCGTAGCATACTGATACTCTACTCTTAGCATGCATGTACTTCTTGCTGTTACCACCTAATAATTATCATGACCAGATACAGTGAGTACATTTCTTCAGTGTGTTGGACTAATTTTACTTTAGAAGTAAATGTTGAGAACTGTAACTGTACCAGAACATGGTATTTGACAAGTTATTTTAGCAGCTAATTTAAGCTTTAAATCTTCTAGGTTTGTGTGTGCATTTTGCTTTTCTGCTAGATTACAATGGAGAGCTCAGTGGAACCCAAGGAAAGCTCGGTGCAACAGAGAGAGAAAGTAATGCAGACGAGGGCGAGGGGCTGAGGTTGGGTGTAGTCCAGATCCTCACTTAACTCCACTACCTTTATCCTCACTGATCCCGTTGGATCACTGACTGGTCTAACGAGGGCTCAGTAAACCACTTAGATGTCTGTCTCACTCTTGGTGTCCTTGTCTGAGCGCAGGGACCGGCCTTTCAGTGTACTCATCTGCTTGTGCCTCCACGAGTGATCTTCCTGCCAAGCAGGACAGCAGCGAGGCGGTGGAGGGAACGGCACTGACCATGCCCTGCCCATGCATGTTTTGTGCACAGAGACAAGCTTTCAGTGTAAAAAGAAAAGCAGTAGTAAACAGCTTGGAACATGTCTGCAATATAAAGCTACATCTGTACACGTCTGGGCACACGTGTGAAATCACACACGGTTCTGGTGCTAGGCTGTAGAGGAGCCCGTTTGGCTACTGCTCTTGGCTCATGTGCTCTTCAAAGAACAGTCAAGAAAATGGTAAAGAGTAGCTTCATAGGGAAGACACATGATGATAAAAGAAGAGTGGGGAAAATAAGACCTGTTTAGATTTGATCTCTGTATCAGTCTATTCAGCTAATGCTTGCCGTAATGATGAGCTGTATTATTGTTCCTAATGTGTAAACAAGGACTGAATGCGCATTTGTGTCCTCAAAAGTGAGGATAGCTGGTTAAGTTTCTGAGAGAGACTGGCATTAGACTAATAAATAGTTTTAAATTATTTGCTGTAGAGGGGTTCTCTTAACAGCTGATGTACTATTACCTTGCTTGTGTCATGGTCTTGAAAACGTTAGCCAAATGTATTTGCATTTTTTTGCCTTTCAGTGGAGCCCTTTAATCCTCAATCCCAGTTACACAATATTGCACTTTCTAGGAGCCACAAAGGTAGACTTCATTAGCATGCACTTTGCACTTGCTGGGCACAGATTTCTCGAATGGTTCCTAATCGCATGATCTGCAACTACCAAACTTACATCATTCTTCATCCAGACTCTGCAGCGTTTGAATATTGCTTTGATGAAGCCCATGCATAAAACTCCAAGTTAATGTGTAGCCTGTCACTGCAGTCCGCTTCTTACAGTCTTGTCATCTCCGATTAGGAGACGTTGAGCAAACCTCTCGTGTAATTGTGGCAGGCTGCCATCCTAATGAGGAGAAATACAGACATGCATGAATCCATGGAGACCTATGCTGGTAGTTCCTTGGTCAGAGTAGATGTGAATTGCTTGGTGTGAATTTTTTTGCTTTGCTGCATTTTTAACTTTGTCTTCATCATTCATAAATACTCTGAAAGCAGCCCTATTCATTATACTCATTATATAATCACCTGAACTCACCCAAAATTGTGGTTATTCTTGTTCTTTCAGAATAAGCAGCTGATAGGACTCAGAGGGCTGTTTAACAAGAACCCTAAGCACAATTCTGCTGAAGCCAGCGGGCACTATGTACGGAAGCGATCTATTGGCGATCGAATTCTCCGACGCACAGCCAGTGCACCAGCAAAAGGTAGAAAGAAAAGTAAGATGGGTTTTCTGGAAGCTACTGAAATTAAAGACAGTGCATCTGAACCGACAGACTTGAAAGACAAAGAAGGAGTTGTAAGGCGTACAAGCCGAAGTTTGCAAGCGCGTCCTGCTTCTATGCCCGTGGAGAAATATCTTCTTGTAGGACTTCCGTGCCCAGAAGATGCAACTGCCCAAGATGCCAAAGGAAAAGAAAACGCATCTGGTAAGATGCTTCCAAAATTACTTTTGATGTAGTAAGTTGAAATAGTCAATTAAAAGTTCTGCAGTCCCTATGCAAGTGGTTTTATTCAACTCAGATAAGAGTTACGGGGCAAAATTACGTATGCTTCAGCTTGTAGTACTTAAATAGCTCCTTAAACTCTTTGATAAGTGACACCCTGTAAAGTTGTCTACTCTTCAGCCTAGGCATATGAATTACAATAATTTCTGGAAGTGCTCTTAAAAGGACACTTGCCAAGTTTCTTTCATAGCTTAAGAACCAGCCTTCAATTACGCTTCATCAGTTTCTGGTTTGCTCCTGTTTGTTACTTTTGAAAACAGAGCTGCTGGCATAGTGTGTTTTCTCTCTCCATTTTCAAGGGGGAAGAACAGCATGCAGCTTATGTTTTTGGGAATAGTGTGTGAAAAGACAAATGCAGACTTTCAAATACATGTAAAAGGGGTAAAAGTAGGTCAAACTTTGTATCCATCAGTCCTGATATTCTCCTAAATTAATCAAATTAAGTAACCTGGGTTATATGGAAAGCATGTCTTAGCATAAAATCTTGGTCTTACATTATTGATACCCAATAGAAGTTAATTCTTAAAATAGCTTTAATGTACGTGTCTTCAGCAATAATACCCTTGGTTTTGAAATCCAGTTTTTCCCACAACTAAGGAAAGTTAGTGTGTTTGACCTGCCTAACATTTGATATTTGACTGTATTTAAATGAGGCTAGGAAGCTTTGAATACAACGGCTGTAATTCATTAGACCTGCTGGCTCCACCCTGAGCTTGTCCCTAGCCCAGGGCACCTGTACTGTGTTTTGGGGCTGGTTTTTGTTTGTTTGGGAAGAGCATGTGTACACATGCAGGCTGTCCCCCCCATGAGGCTGCAGGGCCAGCGAGATCCTCAGCTTCTGGTCAGTTCTGGCGGCACAACATTTCTGCAGAGTCCCGCAGGGCTCCTCGGCTGGCGCAGGACAGCCAGGAGCACCAGCTGTCTGCCTCAGTAAGGTGCAGGGAGAGCACACCGGGAACCCCTTCTGTCCGGGGGGTGACAGAAATGCTGCTCTGCTCGGAGTATTTTCAGCTATGGAGCAGCACAGGAGCCACCCCAAAAACAGAGAGCTGCCAGGCAGGGATGAGAACGTGTTGTTGAGCCACCTTTGTTCTCTTTGCCCATGTTAGTGGCTTTGGAGCCACCTTGTAAAAGAAGTTACTGAGGAGAAATAGCAAGCAAAATTAAACCAAATTTTTTTCTCTACCACCCTGAGAAGAAACTTTAGACAAGGAAAAAGATATTTCTAGTAAAAGAAGTAAACTCTGCAATGCTGTACTTTAAACTGAAACATCCTTTAGATAAGCCAGTGAAGATGATACAGCGCAGCCATTCTTCACAACAGCTGTAATAATTTCTTAGAAATTTCTTCCTAATGACGCTATAGACACAGACAGAAAATTCTTTTAGAATGGATTTGGCATATAAAGACAAGTAAGATGATTTGACGGAGAAAATATCTAATGTGTATTTCTGATGGAATTCAATATCTTGCTCTCATGAATGCAGTAGGCTGGTAGAAGATCAAAAATGAAATCCTTAAATTCTAACATTTTAAAATAACTACATGTAAAATGCAGCCTGGAGTCCATCTACTTGATGCTTTTTACTCAGCTCTTTTAAGCATGCATCCTGTTTCAAAGTATTATGTTTTTTAACAGAGCTGTTTTGTTCTGTCTTTATTGCCGCGCTTCTTTATAGTACAAATCTGAATAGGAACACAGCTGAAGGTAATGCCATGTGCAAGCTATGATATGGTACCTCATTAACATTATTTGCAACAAATATTACATCACGCGCTTGATGTAATAGACATTCAAAGGAAGTTTCAACGAAGTGCCTGCGGTTGTATTTTTCCATTTATTCATATCACTCGGATAATTTGTACTAAACCTGCACAACCCCATAATTAAGTTCTGTCACAACTGTACCTAATTTTGCGTTCTCCATTTGTCTGTCTGAGGACAAAATAGTTGTTAATAAACAGAACACGATATTGTATGCAACTAATATGTCTCTTATTTAATTTAGCCAACAGTGATGACAATACAAATGAGAAGGAAACAAACTTGGAAGAATCTGTTTTTCCGTGTTCTGAGAAAAACCCAAATGCTTCAAATTTGACATTTCAATTTAAGAAGGAGAATGACCAGCAGGAGACTACAGATGACCCTTTAGTACCACCCCTACAGGAGCAAGCTGAACATTTAGGTTTTGCAAGTGGTGCAGCTGAAACCAATTGTCTCACAGGCTATCGGGAAAATAATGTTTCTGATGAAACTGTCCATCTAATGCAGGACACCGAATTTGAAGTTTCCACAGAAAAAACACATGACAAAAACTGTGCAGACAAAAAAAGGGAAGATGACACAGAAGGGTATAGGGAGGAGAAAATAACTCTAGTGGGGACTTCTCTTTCTCAGAAAGCAGAGATGGAAAATCACAAATATGACATCACCAAGAAAAGCACTGCAGCACCTCTTTCTTTGGCAGATGTATCTGCCACCATTTGCTCTGAGCTTCCTGATTTGCACTCCACTTTAACCATGCAAGACAGTGACATTTCTCGCCTTATAGATGAAGTCTCTTTAGCGAACGAGAGCGAGATGGATAGCGCTGTCTCAGCTCTGATCGGACAGTTTGACGTCACGGATGACCAAAGTAATCTTACTGCGGTCTCAAGCCTCCATGGCGCCAGCAACCAGACCTTCAGTGTGATGGCTACACACCCACACATGCTCTCTGCGGGTCTTGACAGTCCCTGTAAGCACAACTTTACTGCCACAAAACCCATCAAATCCCCTTTATTCTCAACTCCAGACACCACCGTGTTCTCCAGCCCTGAGACTGCAGAGTATTCTGCGTACACCATTATCCATGAGGCAACTCTTACACCAACTTCTGAATGTAAGACCCACAGCCAATTAGTTTGCAAGCAAAACTTAAACAGTATAGAAAATAACCTGCCTGGCTGCCCTTGTCCTTCATCTCTCTCCTTGCTCAATGCAAATCCCGAAACAAAATGTGGAACAAGCTGGGAAACCCCCGAGTCTGCCAGTTCTTTTGCTTCCAACAGCCTCATCTTTGAGGAGACACTTGTTGACCCTCCCACGGGTGAGAATTCAGAAAGCAGCAGTCTTGTAGAAGTAGATGGGGATTCTCAAGATCTCTTGGTAACTGCGTGTGAGTACAAAAGGGAAGACATGAGCCAGCTGGCTTCCCCTCTGAGACTGAGGCAGAAGCAGGATCCTGGTCATGGTGGTGAGAGGACCTCTGGGAACAGCGTGACTGCTGGGCGCTGTGCTGCTGCCCTGGCCTGCTCGGATAACTTCAGGACTGCAAGGAATCAGCTCCCTTTTCCAGTGTGTGAAAATGTTGGCTTTTTATATCATCATCTTTCTGATAAGCAGAAAAATGTAACATGTACCTCCGAGACATCCCAGCTCAACACGCACTCCCCAGCGTTCAAAACCGCTCTGGCTTTCCCAGCTCCTTCGGCCATCAAGCAGACCAGCCCTTGCAAATCCAAGAGTCTCGGTGATTTGACATCAGAGGATATTTCCTGCAATTTTGAAAGTAAGTATCAATACATAAGTAAAAGCTTTATCTCATCAGGCATGAGAGACAAGAAACTTGCTGCTATGAAGAACATGAGACCACATTCCACGGATGCTCTGACGGAACAGCTGAGGAAGCTGGTGTCCCTGGACCAGGAGGACAGCCGTCAAACGCTCTACTCCAGGCAGATCGATGAAGACTGCCCAAAGGCGCTGGTCAGAAAACTCTCGTCCAGAAGCCAGAGCAGAGTGCGCAATATAGCCAGCCGTGCCAAGGAGAGGCAGGAGGCCGCCAGCAAGCAAAAACCTTCCAACACAAGCAGCATAGCTGGGGTCGTCCTCCGGAACAAGCCTTCTGCATCTCCCCACATTATCAACAGGCACTCGACAGGCTCGTACATAGCCCGGTACCTGAACGGCTTCCCTGGGGAGGACGGGGAGGGCCGAGGAATACCGGAGGGCGCGTGCGCTGCCTTGCATTACGGCTGCGGTGACCAGTTGTATGCACACGAGTCTGTTCTGCAGCTGGAACCCAACAGCGATGATAAGCCGGAAATTTATTTCC